AGTGTCACAGAGTCTTTGGCAAGCGTGCCCTCCTGTGGCTTGGACAGGATGTGTCACTTTGTTATGACTGAGGATGCATTTGTGTTCCTTCCCATGTCGCTTAAAAGATCTGACCTAGCGTACTTGAGGTGAGGACCACGCTTGCAAGTTCTTTACCTCCTTTGGAAGAGAAGCCACACATCTCTGCTTTCAAGAACAGCCCAAGTGGAAAGGAGGTTCCAGGAGGCACTGTCGGTTTCACTCACTAGGCAGAGGCTGTTGGGCAGCTGTGAAGCTGAGAGTTGAACATGCAGCCCAAAAAGGCAGCTTGGCAATTGTGGGACAGGAGAAGGCTCAGTTGAGCACATTTCCTCCTTGTCTCAGGTCCTATTTTCTATTCTACGTGTAGCCGTGGCTGTGCTGGGAGGGAGACCACATAGTGGGTTCACCCTACGTTACCTGGGCCGGGATAAACTGGACTGTCAGGAAAAGAGTCAGTTGTAATCTATTTTGTTAGCAGATTTACATATTCATGTGATATGCAAATATGGGGATGATTGGCCTGTCTTGTTGGGGCAGCTGCTGAACATTGGCTTTCTACCCACAGTCCTGAGTACAGATAAAACATTCATTTCTCAAATTAGGTAATTAACCTACTCCTTAAACGCATACAGAGGAGAACGAGACAAATGTCATCATTTCTAAGCCTTACAGGAACGGAACTCTGTCTCCCTAGGTGCCATCTGTCACTTTGAGCATGGGAGGAGGAGCACCTTTCTCTGCCAGATTTCTTTCCTTCGGGCCATTCCAAGATCCTGGACTTTCCCAGGTACCTCGTTCTCGTCAGGTGAACAGAATAGATACTGAGTTACTGAACCCACACGATTGCTGGACACTGTTCTTCATGTAGCAGTGTTCTCATTTATGCCCCACCATCATTCTGCAGCTGAGCTATTGTGGTTTTAATTTAGGCCATCAGAGTGCAGAGCCTGGGTTCCTCGCCTTTATCGCAGGCTGCCTGTGGTAATCACTTCAGGTGGACCAGATGTTTCCTAACATTTCTTCCTCAGGGCTGAGTCCTTTATTTGAGGTGAGTCTCGACCAAGCCTGAATGCCGATAGAAATGGAGGGCTTCTGGAGAAAGGAGGATAGAGTGGGTGGGCTCTGGGGCCCCAGCCCTCCCTCCACTTCTTCCACCTTGGGAGTCCCCCCATGGGGGCTCCTGGGACCCATTTCTCCCTCATTGGCCTCCCATTTTGGGGCCTTCTCTTCTCTGAAGTAGGTCCCTATTATGAAGTACAACATGTCCTCATTTTTCACAGATCCCATATTTGCTGTTCACCTGCTCACTCAAATTTGTTAGTAGTCCTAATGCCTACTCATGGTGCTTTTGAAGTCATTTGTGAACACCTGCAGGGCAGTGAAACATTTGAGTCAACTGGATGTGCATGCTCCCTGCTGAGGCTGACCAATAAATGGGTGCTTTTTCCCCTATTTAAAGCTATACTTTTTCATTTTTGTTGCTGATTCATTCTTGTTGCTGATTTTTTGGTATGGTATAGGGTATTGAAACCAGGACCTGAGGCCTCTAGGTAAATTCTATCACTGAACCACATCCTAGCCCTATTTATTTATTTAATTTTAAGACAGAGTCTCCCTAAGTCACTAAATTGCCTGGGCTGGGCTTGAGCTGTAGTCCTCCTGCCTCAGCCTCCTGAGTAGCTGGAATTACAGGTGTGTGCTACTCCCTCCCCCAGCCTTTGTTGGAGACTTTACAGTATCAAATGTCGCCAATCAAGTACTTACGATTTAGATCTAGAATGTTCCCCCAAACTCTTACGTGCTCAGAGGCGAGGCTTTTGGAAGGTGGCTGAATTGTGGCAGAGAGGGCTATAGCGGACTTGCTGGTAGGAGGCGGGGCCCGGTAGGAGGTGGGTTACTAAGGGTCCATCTCCCTCGCTGGCTCCTCCCTTCTCTCTGCCTCCTGGCCACCGTGATGTGAGCAGCTTTCCTCAGCCAGACCTTCCACTGTGCTGTTTCTACTTTGGAGCAAATTGCTCAGAAACAAAATAAACTCTCCTTCTTTAAGTTTTGGGTGTTGTGCTCTGGGCTCTTACAGCAAGAAAGTCACTTAGCAGAGCTGAAGTGCTGTCTGCTGTTCCTAGGCATGAGAAGAGAAAGGACCTCTGTTAGGTGAGCCTCGGAAAGGCCTAAATTATAAGGCTATTGGCCGTGAGTTCAACGTTAGTGAGATAAATATATATATGTATATATAAAATGTATGAAATAAGGGGTCGATAAAGAGAAGCACACACACAAAACAAGGTTATGTATTTATTGGTTGAAGAAAGTGTTATGACCCAGCGGCTCATAGGAAGCTGTCACAGTGTGGATCCAGAAGGTCCCCCAGAGACCCATGTGTTAAAGGCTTGGTCGGCAACCCTGGTGCTATTAGGAGCAGATGGAACTTTTTAAAAAGCGGGGCCTTCTGGAAGGAGGTGAGGTCACTGGAAGGGTGGCCTTGAAGGGGATGTTGAGGCCCCTTCTTCTCTCTCACTTTGCTTCCTGGCCATCATGAAGTGAACAGCCTTCGTCTGCCACGTGCCCTCACCATGATGTACTGTGCTACCACAGGCCCAAGTATGGTGGTGAATGACCATGCACTGAAACTCCTGAAGATGTCAGCCAAAATAAAGTTTTTCCCTTCTCCAGCTGACTGTCTCAGGTATTTTGCCACAGTAACAGAAAGCTCACACAGAGCCTAACCTGTATTTCCCTAAGGAGGCTCTTATGCCCCAATGTTTGTGGCAATTTTAGAGAACATAACTACCACAAGTAATGATAATTATCTTATTTTTTTTGAGATCCTCTTATATACCCCAAACTTTCCTAAAATAATATTTAAATCCACCCTAATCCTCATCCCTATAAATTATCATTATGCCCCTCCGGATGGTAAATTTAAGCCCTAAATAATTTGCCAATGCCAATAAGCTAGAAAGAGGTAAATAAAAACAAAAACGAGGCCAAATAGCACGTGGCTCTATTGTTCTTTTTCCTTTTTGCTCACTGCTTTCACTTTGCGAACTAATTCCAGCTTGACATCTTGTAGAGTTTAGCCATATCCACGCCCCCTGTGCCGCTGGATTTCTTTACACTGGCTTCAGCACGGATTTCCCCCAAGTGCTCCCTCCTCCTCACTCAGCGAAGCCTGCTCACCGATGCCATTTCATTTTGTACAAGGTAGCCAGATGCCTGAGTCTCCAGCCATTGCGTCTCTTCTTCCTCTCCCGCTCCCATCTTGCTTCCGGTAGCCATGGCAGTCAAGATTTCCAGATAAAGCAAACATGTCTTCTGTGGAAGAGAGAGGAGAAAACGACAAAAGACAGGGACGCAAGTGGACTTGAAGGAGGGAGAGCACACTCACCGAGCCAGGGAGGGTCCCTGAAGGCGCTGGAGCAAAGGGAGAGTTGGGGTGAGAGCCGCAGAAAGAGATAGCTGAAACCCATCATCGACACCTGCACAATTCTGTGTATTGTTAAAGAGTGTTCATTTCTATGATCTCATTTCCCTATCGTAACCACTCTGAGAAGGTGAAGGGCGCATTCTATTTTCTATCTAATTGATCAGAGAACCGAGGCATGAAATGCTCTAGTGACTCGCCCAAGGCCATGCAGTTTTAATTTGCTCGACATTTGGGTTAGGGTCTTCCTATCACACAGCAAAACTCAGTAATTGTTATCCTAATATTTCAGTTTGTAAGCCAATGTCAAGAAGAGTTCACGAGGACACAGACATATTCTTCTTTTTTAAATACTCGTATACTATGACTGTTGCAATATTTTTACTTAACTGTAGTTTCTTTAGATTTCAATGCTTACGTCAAAGCATTTGATTAAAATATAGCAAAACTAGTATTCCTTTCAAGGGGCTCAAAATATTTCGAGCTATGTGAGTATAGATGAAGGCAGCTTTGCTGCTCCCTCTTCTGGGACTCTTTCTGGGGATATTACTAAAGTCAAGAATTAGATCAGAAGTGAAGAACAGATAGGGATGTTAAAGAGGAGCTTTTGTGTAAAACTGAACTTATTCCCTCCAAGTTTGCAATCTCCATCCTGATGCTAGATCCCCAGGTTTGCATGGTGAGTTCCTCCCGGATATAATGGTCTCCACAATGAGATTTTGATGAAACTGTGATTGACATAGGCAGGTCTGCCTGGCAAAATTTGGTTATAAGTTTAATGATGCACATTAAGCACATTCAATGGCAGCGGCTATAGGCTGGATGAGGGCAGGAGATACAAAAGGAAGATACAATTTATGGTCAGTGAGGGGCTAAGATCCCCCTGATGTGAATCACAGCCACCTCTCTGTACTTGGGGCTCCTACAGCTTCATTTCACATATGCCTCCCACCAATGCGGATTCTCTTTATTGCATGATGCAGATATCTGGGGGAGACTTGGCGGCTCCCCCAGGGGACCAGGGCCTGCCCTGGGCTTTGCACTGGGCTCTTTGCCTCTAAGTGAAGAGCTCCTGTCACTCAGCCACACAGGAGGCCAGGAAATGCCCAAGAGACCATTTAATGCTGGGACACATGCACGTAGGGGTGTGCAGATTTGTGCTTGCATCCTCGAAGTGCAGGGATTCAGAGTGAAGGCAAGGTCCCTGCCGGGCAGCAGGGCGATGATGCTCCTGGAGAAGACAGTGTGAACACTCTAGGTAGTTGAGGAGTTTTCTGAGAGGACAATGACTTTTTAATAGAGAAGTTTACTTGGCTAGTTGACAAAGCAAGCTTTTTTATCTTGGCTAAAAGTAGCTCCTTCTATTATATCCCAGAGCTTCTGGCTGTCCTGGGGGAGACATATGAGCACAACCACAGGCCTGGAATATCCCAAGAGTGCAAGAATAGCCATAACAAGAGCTGACTTCTGCCACTCCAGCCCTTGCAGTTGTTAGGAATGCTTCGCCTCAGAGGCAGGTGGCTTGGAAACCCAGTCAATGTGCAGACAGAAACTCTCACCTCCCGCTCCTGGGCTCAAATCTTTCTTTCACGCTCCAACTCTTACCTCTAAGTCTTTGTCACTAAAACAGATTTCTTGTAGGATTTTCCACCTTCTTGGAGGCCACGGGCCCAGGAGTCCATGATATTCGGAGGCATGGAGAACTTGGACTTGCTGGGGTTCCTCATCATCACGCTAAACTGCAATGTGACCATTGTGGGTGAGTGCTGGGAGAACTGCGAACTCCTGCTTTGCTGTTACAGTTGTTGCTTTGTTTGAATTGAGTCTTACAGGGTCAGAGTGTATCCTCTTTTCAGTTTGCCTGTCTACTCCTAAGGCCAGCGTGTGGCTGGAGGACAGTGAGCTTGGGACAAGCTGTTCTCTAGGAGAACCACGGCTCCGCCATCACTGGACGAAGCCCAGGGTGAGCCTGGTCCCCTCCAGGCTGCCTCGTCACTACCGAGGCCAGTGGGAGAGGGCTTGTGCGAAACCTTCTTGGACTTGTCACCAGGAAAAGAAACAATACAGTCAGAGAGTGAGAAAGTAAGGCCTGGATTATGCCTCCTTCTCATGCATCTGTCTTTGGTTTTGTCCCTGAAACTTAATTTGTAAAGATTAGTAGTTTTTCTTGTGCACTTAACCAAATCCCAATTGTAGTGTAGTTCATAATTTTTATCTTATTTTAGTTTTGCAATGCTGGGGATGGAATCAGGGCCTTGCATATGTAGGCAAGTGCTCAACCACTGAACTAACTACACCTCCAGCCTCCCCTGGTTATTAACAGAATTTATAACAAATATTTCTGCCTTTGAATAGATGAGTCAAACTTCAGAGAGGTGAGTATCAAGGCAAAAGGGATTGAGGAAGGGACTAATAGGTACCTGAGATGTGGTTGGTATTTTTCCTACTCATTATTTTGTAGAGTTTAAACAAAATTGACCTCATCATAAAAGTTCAAGTTGGTGACATTATCATTTAATGATATTCTTTGAACTCAGCTGCCTTCATTTATAATAGGGTTTTGTTTTTCTAATGTTAGGTGATGCTTTCTCTGTCTTGTCACAAAATATATTTACAAGTTATTTTGGCTATGTTTTAAATGTGTTCCAAAGTAGGTGACCCATAAAGTGACAGTGGCTTTGAAATTATTTCGATTTCTTAGGTTCATTCATTCATGTGAAATGGAAGAAAGACAAGCCTTGTTATTTCACAAAATAGGGGAAAAGGAACTCTGAATTATTGAAATTTGTACTTAAAGGAGTTCACTTTCAAGGACAATAGAACAACATTAAACACAAGTCCTGTGACCAAATAGAGACCTTGTGAGTCACTGTCATAAGAAAGGGAGACAGAAACGAGCAGCTTGTATTTTCTCTACACAGGAATATTCTAAAACCTTAAAAAAAAATCTTATTCTCATAAGAAGAGTAAGGTCTTTTTGACATCATTGATTTGCTCAACCAAACTTTCTCTCTGAAAATTTCAATCCAAAAGATACAAACAAATGTCTAAACTAGTGGAGTCAGAGGAAAACGTTTTCAGTATATAATGTTCTTTTTTTATTAGTACATGTTTGTAGTACATAATGATCGCATTTCATCATGGGGAGTTGGTACAATGTTCTTTAAAACTCTGCTCATCTGGAAGCATCTTACAAACAAGTTCAGTGGAGTGACTAGGACATTCTAAGCACTCCTAGGACACTGTTAAATAAATAGCAAATGAACAAGCCAGCTGATACTGTTGCCATGACTAAATACATGCCTACTGATTTCTCTGGTCTCCAGTCTCCACCCAGGAAATATTTTACAACTGTTGCTTAGATAAAATCTGAAGTTGGCTTGATTCCCAATTCTGGAATTGGGCAACACTTCATCCCATGAAATAGTGAGTGCTCCCAGGAGATGGGCTGATGAGGCGGTGACGAGGCCATTCCTGCTTGCTCTTTTTCAGGAAAGATCTGGCTGCTCTTCACGGTACTGCTGAGGATGGGTGTGATCGTTCTGGCAGGGTACCCGATCTACCAGGACGAGCAGGAACGGTTCGTCTGTAACACTCTGCAGCCAGGCTGTGCCAATGTTTGCTATGACATCTTCTCCCCTGTGTCCCAGCTGCGGTTCTGGCTGGTCCAGGGTGTGTTCGTGCTCCTCCCTTATGCTATGTTTAGTGTCTATGTTCTCCACAGAGGCACCCAGCTCGCCATCCGGGGAGCCTGCCAGTCGGACAGGGGTGCCCCAAGTGTGCCGGACTTCTCCTGTGGCTACCTCATCCACCTGTGCTTCCGGACCCCGATGGAGGCTGCCTTCGGGGCCTGGCATTACCTCCTCTTTGGGTTCTTGGTCCCCAAGAGATTCTCTTGCACCCACTCTCCTTGCTCCAGTGTGGTGGATTGCTACGTCTCTCGGCCCACAGAGAAGTCCATCCTGATGCTTTTCGCCTGGACCATGAGTGCTCTCTCCTTCCTCCTCACTGTCGCAGATCTGGTCTGCAGTGTGCAGAGAAGGATTCTTGGGAGGAGCGGCCCCGGGCACGGTGTGAGCAGCACCTGCAGCAGCAAGGAGTGTGGAGCCGGGGCTTCTCCTCCCAGCCACGCTAAGGGGAGCAAGCCTGGAGAGGTGGATGAGGGTGGCAGGTGGGAGGAAGAGGCAGCGCCCTCTCTCCCTGATGGGTGGGGGGGAGGACAGAGTGCCAACAGCCCCAGCGGTCAGTCTGCCGTGTCCGGCCAGGTGGTGCTGCGGGATGAAGACGGGAGTGAGGCGTTGTCCTCAGCCAGTGACAAGGGGCCCATGGCCCACAGGGAGCCTGGGGGCAGATGCCCCGGAGAGGCTGCCCAGGACCCAAGGAGCAAGGGCCTCGCCCGACCAGAGGTGCATCCCTGCGCCTCTCAGAGCCACCTGGCACGCCACTATTCCTCTGGCCTGCTGCACCCTCCCGAGCAGCTGGCCCCCTCTGGCAGCGTCCCCTACCTGAGAACCAAAAAGTCTGAGTGGGTGTGAAGAGAGAGCCACGAGGTGCCCGTGAGTCTGGTTCTGCCGCAGGGCTGCTGTCCCGGGCTCATGGCTCGGCCAAGAAGGTGCAGAGGAGCACAAACTGATGCTCAGCGATGTTCTTGGTAGCAGGCCAGCTGCCAGAAGGACAGACAAACTTCCTGGGAGACATGATACAGATTTGATTTAGATAACACTTTCTGTTGAAAAGGCCCTTGACATAATGCCTGTCTCTAACCTGCAGAGTGCTGGGCCTCAGGAGACTGTTAGATGTGCTACGCCCTCGCTGGATCTGTTGTCTTGAGCTTTACCATGGTATGTGCCTCGTGTAAAGCACGCTGTCTTACATCAATAGAGCTCAATATGCTTGGATTCTTCTGGTGAGTTATTAGGATCTGGCTTAGGTTTTGGCTCTGCTTGATGAGAGGCACTGGTTATGTCATCAGCAGAGACATTAGTTTACCTCTTTAGTAAAATGAACGCTGAATGCATTGCAGTAACACGCTTCTTACTTCGTGGTGTGAAGGAAAAGGTGGCACATGCAGGAGAGTCGTGCTCTTATTGTTCCGGATGTGGAGAGAAGCCCAGGGCTTGCTGAGCCACCCGTGTGTAGCCTAGTGGCGGCCCTCCCCCTGTGGAGGCAGGACTTGTGCTGTTGAACAGTGGCCCAGGATTTGTCACAAGGTCTTGTCCAAGTCCTTTTGCGGCAGTGCGATTATGATTGTCTCGAGAGCCTTATTCTAGTGCAGAGGAGAAGGGCTTTAGGTGGTGTGTTTAGGCCTTCTGTGTGCATACTAGAAACGAAAAGCCACCTCAGGTCTTGGGAAGAGCGCTGCCCGTTTGGAGTCACTCGTTCCAATTTTGGTGCTTCCCCAGTTAGAGTATGACTCTGTGTTGGAGCTTTTCTGCTGCTTGAAATTGAGCAGATGGGAGGACACACCTGACACAGGGCAGGTTAAACCAGCTCACCTCGGGAAAGAGAGGGGGAAAGAGCCACTGAGTGTAGTTCTAGACTTGAGCACTGTTCTCTGGGCCCCAAATACAGACGAGCAGAGGGATGGGATCATTCTGCACCGCACCAAATAATACAAAGGGTGAACCAATGCTCTTGTGATGACAACAGAACTGTTCTAAAGAGAACTTTGCAGTAAAATATCTGCTAGGACAATGCAGCCTGCTAGACGTCTCTGTAGGATGGCAAAGCAACTGGTTAAAATTTAGAAAAAGGAATCACGTAGCTGGACATGGTGGTGCACACCTGTAATCCCCACACTCTGAGGCTGAAGTAGGAGGATCACAAGTTTGAGCCCAGGAATTTAGCAACTTAGTGAGAGCCCATCTCAGAATGAGGAAAAGGGGGAGGGGGGGGAAAGGGGCTGGGGATGTAGTTTAGTGTTAGGCTCTGGGTTCAATTCTTAGTACTAAAAAAAAAATCATCCAAGGTTGGTTTTGGCATAAGACAGTTTGAATTAATGCGCCTATTTTCATGTTCTCTCTCTCTCTCTCTCTCTCTCTCTCTCTCTCTCTCTCTCTCTTTCTCTCCCTCCCTCCCTGCCTCCCTCCCTGCAACTCTCACTTTTGCTCCTGAAGCCACTTACATTTGTAATCTATGCCCCAAATCTTGGAGCTCTATATTAATGTCTGGCACAGCGGCTGCTCAATAAATGTGATTTTTGAGTCTGAGGTCCCTAAGTATCAGAAGCAAATACTGGTGTCCCTTGCAGCAGATAATTCTGGTGGCTTCTGAGGTTGGGCACAGTCTTATGTGAGAGGCATTCTGAAAATGAGCACCCTGGGACCCAAGCGAGTCAGCGTGAGCCCGGGTAATGCTTTGTGAGGAAAGGAAATCGAATCAGTGAATATTGGTCCCGGGCACCCACGCAGGGCTGGGAAAGGGCCAGGGAGAGCTGGATTCTCTCCCAGCCATGGCCCCGCTGAGCTGGGCTCTTCCCCCTGGTGTCCAGGCTCAGGCGCGGATTTCCAGGTGCGTGATTCTGCGTGGTGGCTGTGGGGAAACTTTGACCTCTCTGCTATTGTCCCACACCCTGGCAGGAGAGAGCTAGAGTCTTGCAGTTTGCTCCATGGAGAACTGGGGAGCTTCCTGAAAGCACTGGGTGCCAAGAGCTCTTCTCTGATGTCTGCTGTTACTTGGCAGCTCACTTCGCTCCCCTGGGCCTCGGTTTCCTCCTCTGAGTGACTGGATGGGTCCACAGTGGTCTGTACATTTTAGGACTCTGATAATGAGATGTGTTAGCTTTAGTAAGGATTAATTTAGTAACCTTTAATAGTGGTAATATTTATATATACACAGCCTTGAACCGAGGGAGTGCTAAGCTAAATCCCTGGCCCTTTTAAAATTTTGTTTTGATACAGGGTCTCACTGAGTTGTGCAGGCTGGTCTCAAACTTGTGAGCCTCTTGTCTCAATCTCCTGATTATCGAGGAAGGGTTTTAATAAGATTGAATGGTAAGAGCAGGAATAACCTGCGTCATAGTCCATTTTCTGTTGCTGTAACAAAATACCTGAAGCTGGGTAACTCATAAAGAAAACAAGTTTTGATTACTATATGTCTAGGTGTAGATTTTTTTTATCATGGCTAATTGGAGTTCTATATGCCTCACTTGTCTGTATGGCCAATTCTCCACCTCTGTCTGGGAAGTTTTCTACTATTACTTCTGTGAACAGGTTTTTTTTATGTCAATTGTATTTTCTCCTGTTTTTTCGTGGACTCCCATCAGTCTTATGTTATTCTTCCTTGCATCATCTAGCAGCTGCTGGATTGATTTCTCATGATCCCTTACTATTTTTAAGAAATCTCTGTTTTCATGGTCCTTAACCACAATCCTGTCTTCTATATCTGATATTCTATCTTCAGATTCCCTTAATCTGCTGTGTATACTTTCAATGGAGTTTTTAATCTCCTGAATATCTGTTTGAATCTGTTTCATGGATTCCATTTCTTTCTTATGTTGGGGGATCATGATTTCTATTTCTTTCTTATGCTGGGCATTCATGGCTTCCAGCGTATTTCTGAGCTCATCTATTTTTTTTTTTATCTATTTCTGTTCTAGAGCCTCTAATTATGTCTTTCACTCTGCTCATCATGTCTGTATTTATCTGAGAGATTATTTCTGCTTTGAATTTTTCTAGAGCCTCATTTATCTGTTTTGTTACTTTCTGTGCTATCAGTTCAGGGTGTCCAGGTAGTTGATTATCAGACTTTTCCACCTTGTTTTCCCCAGAAATTGCCTTTTGTGGGGTGGAAGCCTGAGTTTGTGACTTGCTTAAATGTCTTCTCATTTTTGTTTTTGGTACTGTCAGTTATAAGTCAATGAGTCCCAGTAAGCCAGTCACAGACCCGTGAGATTCAGATAGACTTCCAGCTGCAAGTCCCAAATTGAGCTTCCCGCCCTCCCACAGGGCTGAACTCCGCACAACTCTACTACAGGTTCCAGTTGTCTTTCCCCCGAAAATAGTCCAGGATCAAATGGGAGGTGATGATCCCTCCAACTTACCAAGCACTGTGGTCTGGTGTGCCTTTACTGCAGAGATTCTCTTCATTTTTCCAGTGGGCTTCAGTTTTCATCAGGGAGCCTGAGAGAGGCCCTTTCTCTGTTGTTCACCTCTGCAACTCAGGACAATGGCCTTTATGTCCCCTGTGCCTCTATAGTGTGGAACTGGGTAGCTGCACAGCCAAGAGGCCAGAGGCGGGGCAGGGGGTGGGGGAGCCTGCTGAGGGGGAAGTGTCCTCAGGGTCTCCTGGGTGCAAAGTGGGTGGGGCAGGGCACGACTCATTTTTTTGTTTCCCCAAAGCCAGAAGACCGGAAATATAAAATAAAAGTAGAAATAGGTCCCCAAGTAGCCCCAGGCCTGTCTTTGCCTGACCCTGTGGGGACAACAGGCACGGGACAAGTGGCAGCCAAGTCCTCAAGGCTGGCGGAGGATCAGGTGGGGTTGCTGCCCTGCCCGGCCTCACATCCACTCTCTCCCAGTTACAAGGACCTGCCCCAGGCCCCTGCCACATGCATGCCACTTGCAGAGCAGCACTTAGGTAGAACTCTTGAAGACACTGGCATAGGAAAAGACTTTATGAACAAAACCTCAGTGGCATGGGAACTTGCACAAAGAACCAACAACTGGGATCTCATCTTTTTAAAAAGCTTCTGCACTGCAAGAGAAACCACCAACAGAGCTAAGAGACAACCTACAATGTGGGAAAAAATTTTCAGCAACTGTACCTTAGACAAAGGGCTACTATCTAGAATATATAAAGAACTGAAAAAAATCAAAACCCCAAATTCAAAGACCAATTCAAAAATGGGCATCTGAAATGAACAGACATTTCTCACACAAAGAAGTAAAAGCAGCAAGTAAATATATGAAAAAATGTTCACCATCACGGATTATTCCAGAGATGCAGACGAAAACAACACTGAGATTCCACCTCACCCCAGAAAGAATGGCTGCTATCAAGAAATCAACCAATAACAAATGCTGGCGGGGCTGTGGGGAAAGAGGAACCCTGCTCCACTGTTGGTGGGAGTGCAGATTGGTGCAAACACTGTGGAAGTCAGTATGGAAATACCTCAAAGAACTAGGGCTGGAGGTCCCATTTGACCCAGATATTCCCCTACAGGGTATCTTCCCAAAAGAATTAAAAGAATCATACCACAGCGATACATGTGCACCCATGTTTATAGCGGCACAGTTTGTAATAGCTAAAGCTTGGAAACAGCCCAGGTGCCCATCAACTGGAAACTGGATAAAGAAGCTGTGGGTTTTTTTTTTTTTTTAAATAAAATGGAGTACTACTCAGCCATAAAGAATGAGAAACTAGAGACATTGATAGCTAAATGGATGCATATTGAGGCCATCCTCTTAAGTGAAATAAATAGGACACACGTGTGTAAATACCGAATAGTTTCTCTAGTGTGAGAAACGGAGAGTGTAATTAAGGATACACACGGATGGAATGGCCTAATAACATATTTCTCAGATTGTGTTTCCATCGCGTGTCATATGTGTGTATTGAAATTTAAATTAGGGAGAAGCTTGGCTTATGTGGAGTCTGCTAACT